TTTTTTTTTAATTCCCATAGCTTGACAAGTGCAACAAGACAAACTGCAATCGAAGATTTTAATACACAAAACTTGGAAACTCGACATATCTTTTGTAACAGTCACAACATCCAACGACAAAATCACATGGAATATTTGGACGGTTTCTATATTGTTATATTGTGTATAACTTGTAATATAAATGCTATTGTAAAATACATTAGCATTCACCATATTTACAAACAATAAAGTAAAGTGGATATTAGCATATATACACCACAAACTAAAAATGATGAGAAAAAAGTTGAACACATGGTGGATTTGTTTATCTCCCATGCTTTTTTTTGCTTGACCCCTTTCTTCTTCGACTTGAAAAATTTAAGACAGGTCTTGGTATATGTTTATATTGTGCATATAATTGCACAAAAACCGCCTATTATTTATCAATTTATATAAAAAAAATTTTTTTTTGGTATTAAGTATTTCATTGTAAATAAAGATTTAGGGTCCTCTATTACATTATACTTATTGTATCATGAATTTTACGTCTTAAATATCTCTGCATAAAGGATCGCCCTTCGAGTGACCCCAGATGCCCAGATGCTTGATTGTTAAAAAAAAAAAAAAAAATCTAAAATTTTAGATAAATTGGCATCGTTTGTCACTTATTTCTCCTTCCAACTCTCTTTTCTTTTCTGGCAAGAAAGAACGATCAAAAACCCTTTTACTTCAAAAAAAATTCCAAATTTGATCATCTATTTTAATCATCTGTGAATTAAATATCAATATCCCAATATACAATAATTATAATATATAATATACACATAATATACATAATATATATATATATTTTTATATATTTTATTGCTATTCTATTACTAGTATTCTACTTATAGAATAGATTTTACTACAGCATTTCTATTCTATTTAATTTTGTCCCCGTCACAATTTTCCCATTACTATTTTTTTTTTTCCTTTTTTTTTTTTTTTAATTATAATTAAATACCAACTAAAAAAAAAAAAAAAAATCTGTAATTTCTAACAATAAAAAACATCCCTCGTTACAATACAAAAATCTTTGCTTTCACGCCAAAGTATCTTGAGAACATGCAGTTTCCCTCAAGTTTTGTCTTTCCACCTGAAGCAGTCGCTCAAACCCCCGTGGCTCTAAACACAGGTAAAATATTCTTTTTTATCTATTTATTTTTTTTGAAAGTGAAACGCGCTCGACTACTATACTTTCAGTGTGGTTTACGCGGCGAATATTTATAAGAATCAAAGAAAGAGAAATTTCAAATAATAAAAGAACGTGTAAAATGAATTTTATAAAGTTTACTCGCGTACTTTTCAGTTCAAATAATTATTATAACTATACATTTTTTTAAAAACCCAAACTAATAAGTTTAAATTGTTTTTTTTTTTTAACGGTTTGAATTTATTCTTTCAGACTTTACATTTACATGTTCACCAGGAGGTGTACCTTTAAATAGCCTATCACCCATTCCTTTAGGAATGCCACCAAACGTACCTTTAGGTATGTTTTCACTTGACAGCACGCAAGTAACTCAAGCAACACAAGTTTCTCAGTTACTTTCACCAGCACCTTCATCACCACTTTCTATACTTGAATATCGTGACTCTCCCACAGCGGATGAATTGGACATTCCAGAATTTTTCCAATATAGCAAAGAAAAATACGAAAGTCAAAAAATGGGATGTGGTCGACGGAGAAAGTCATCACGTGATGAACCATTCGATAATTCCTCCTTAGATGGAGATGATATTGATGACACAAGCAGGTACATAAACTAGGACAAAATTATAAAATTTACATGATAAAAAAAAATAACACATTGATTTTATTATTGATTATTATTGATCACAGTACAATGTCACATGCCGAGTTTAGGCGTCAAATACACATTCAATCAGAACAAAAACGACGTGCAGAAATCAAAGATGGATTTGAGGAACTTCGCAGACAGCTCCCGACCACTTATACAGGTCGTAAAATGAGTAAAGCAGTTTTACTACAGAAAGGTGAACACAATTTCTATATTTATATTTTTAGTGCTACCTAACAATGACGCACATAATTCATAGAATTTGCTAACAATGATTATCATCTTGTTTTTTTTTGTGTAAAAGCTGTTTCGCATCTAAAGAATCAGTCAAGGAAGGAATCTTTTCTTCTCGATGAAATCAATCGTCTAAGTCAAACTTGTGTCTATTTGAATGCAGAATTGGAAAAGGAGAAAAGGTAAAAATATTTCGTGCTAATCTAGAATGTTATTATGTGTTATTATATGATATTAATATCTAACATATATATCTTATATATCTCATACATCTTAACTATTCAATTTATTTATTTATTTTATTTATTTCATTTATTTTATTTCATTTATTTTACTTTTATTTATTTTACTTTTATTTATTTCTTAAAAGGATGAGTGCGCTTTATAGACAAAAGCAAACTCTTGATAAAATATATGCGATTGGGTTATGAACAATTCACAGGGACTTTCAGAATTAACCATCCTTCGTTTGTTCTCGTTTACGGTTTTTTTTATCCAGCTTAACCAACCGAAGAATAAAGCTTATCGTTAATTTATCAATATTCATTCTTTTATTTGTTAGAATCAAATTTGTTTTTTTTTTTTTTTTTATGTGTCAGAAACATTTTCCGCAATTCTGCATAATTGTATATTTCGTTCATTCCTATGACTTTACAACTATTATAACTATTTTGCCAAGAATAGTTATATTGCCAGCATTCATATTTACATATTTCATCCTGCAATGCAAGTTTTAGAAAACGACATTTTTTTTTTTTTTTTTGTACATATATATATAGTATATATATTATATATATAATATATATATTAATTTCCTTTTTTTATATTTTCACGTTC